ACCCGGGACTCATGATCAGATAGCGAACATTCTAACCACTCGGCCACGTATCCACACCCTCTATGTAATTTGTGTATCTATATACACACCTCACTGTATCAATTTAGTGGTTGTATAAATGTTTTGCCTGTTCAGGTCCATACGAACGTTGTTAATATGAGTAGACTTACGAGTGTATCGGACTTAATTTGGAATACTAGTTGGGATAACAACTTTTCAGTACTCTCTATTATATTTTTAAAAACACATTAAGATAATTTCATAAATTTCAGTAAACAAATTCTTTATAGTTAACACTAGCTTTTGCATATTCTATCTCAGTCTTTTCATATCTATCTATCTCTTTTAGTTTGTTTCTATCTATCTATCTATCTATCTATCTATCTATCTATCTATCTATCTATCTATCTCAGTCTTTTCATATCTATCTATCTATCTATCTATCTATCTATCTATCTATCTATCTATCTATCTCTTTTAGTTTGTTTCTTTCTATCTATCTATCTATCTATCTATTTATCTATCTCAGTCTTTTGATATCTATCTCTTTTAGTTTTTTTTTCTCTGTATCTATCTATCTATCTCAGTCTTTTCATATCTATCTATCTATCTATCTATCTATCTCTTTTAGTTTGTTTCTATGTATCTATCTATCTATCTATCTCAGTCTTTTCATATCTATCTATCTATCTATCTATCTATCTATCTATCTCTTTTAGTTTGTTTCTATGTATCTATCTATCTATCTATCTCAGTCTTTTCATATCTATCTATCTATCTATCTATCTATCTATCTATCTATCTCTTTTAGTTTGTTTCTATGTATCTATCTATCTATCTCAGTCTTTTCATATCTATCTATCTATCTATCTATCTATCTCTTTTAGTTTGTTTCTATGTATCTATCTATCTATCTCAGTCTTTTCATATCTATCTATCTATCTATCTATCTATCTATCTATCTATCTATCTATCTATCTATCTATCTATCTATTCAAAGTGATTATTAGCGGAAAATGTCTTATAAATATGAATCTCATCATAATTATTTTATTGTTAGCTTTATTTCTATCTGATTATTGTTGCTTTTTTTAGCAGGCATTTCTGTTGATACAATCTTAAAGCGAAATACTGCCAAAGTCTTTCATTAGGTTTCGTGTCCCGCAACCTGTCAGATTTGTAACGGTAACGCATCCTCTGTATGAGTAGAGAGGTGTGTCTAGGGCAAGACAACCTGGTGGATCTTATCCCTCTTTTGTTTGATTTAAAATTCAGAATTTTCCTTCTCCTAGTTAATATCTCAAAGCATGTGATCCTAATCAACACTGCTATTTAATATAGGTTCAGTCGGGGAGGGGGGGGCAGAGGTAAAAAGACCCGCATTATTAACTTTCTAAACAGCATTTTTATGTGAAGAAGAACGTAACGAATTTAGTAATTATTCAGTCTACCCAAGTTTATGTCCATGTTGCCATGTGGATAAAACACTGAAGTGACTTGATCGGTTAGTATTCTTAACTTTCTATTCCATTAACAGTAACTTGATATATCAGAGAACCTGGTACTAACCATACACACATATTTGATGATTCAAATAGTGTTGTCAGGAATTACATAAAAATACATGTTTAGAGAAACTCAAATATTTCCCTGTCACCTCATGAAATCACCTTTAAAAATGAATTCCATATAACTGTGTCCTATAGGAAGATGATGAGCAACTACCGACACCGAGGTTCGAGCGTGTCACTCTGGACTTATGAATTTATGTTTTCCACCAGACGTATAAATAGCGGTGTCAGGCTACTGACTGAGGTGATTATTGAATGACTATTGAGTGGAACTATCCAGTCGAATTACTGTGAATTATTGTGTATCGATGATTTGAGTTTTGATTTAGGATTTACCGGACGTTAAGCCGATCTGCGATACTAACAAGGTATTCAATGAAATGGTTAATTCTCTTTTGTTGTCTTTTACTTTTTTGTTCTTGTTTAGTATTTATTTGCGGTTGTAATTAATTAAATACTGTTTTATCTTTACATTGAAGTCTTGAGTTATACTTAATTATTAACGGCCACCATACGTCACAAAACTATGACTATTTTATTTTTGCTTGCATGCGAAGTAAAATTTGAACAATTTTTTAGTCTCAATATTACATAGCAAAAATTAAAAATCTTTATTTCCATTTTTGTTATTTTATCAAATTGAATTTTTGTTTTTAAACGATTTTCTGGTGGAGCTATTTTATCTTCTATCACTTAAATTATTTAATAATTCAATTCCCTTAACTGAAGATTGTACTCCAGTAAGGTTTTGTTTTTTCCAATTTGTTTGGCGTTTGGCGGGTAAGGTTTTTAAACGTTCCCTATCGTCGTCATACTATTCAGATAATTGACACAAACATTTTTCATGGAATCCTCAACCAATGGAAATAACTTTGGTAGACAAAGGGAGTAGCGAGTTCCTTATAAATACAAACACGAACAAAGAAAATACAGATTTTAAAAATATATATAAAAAAACATCTATTTCTGCAATTTTCTCCTTAGCAAAATACGACAATCATCATTTGCATTTTATATTTTCATAAAAAAATGAAATTTTACATTTCCTTGTAGTAGAATCATGGGGTTTGAGCAGAGAAAGCATAAAAAACAATGTTTCAATTCTTGCGTTCTAAGTGACGAAACAAATGAATGAAACCTTTTTGTTCTTTAAAATTCGTTGCTGTTGAAAAACAAAAAAATCATACTGCTTGATGAATAAGAGCCATGTTTTAAGCGGTCATTATTTCTGTGTATCCAAAATTTCGCAATTCCACTACAAATTCATAGATAAATGACTTCTGTTTCCCATTCTAAGTGCTGAGTCGGTAAGGATACTAGCAAGCACAGGTTAGTCGCGTACTTGTAAAATGTGCTTCAACTGTTTCCAATATTACCAAAAGTGGGTGTGATGATCAGAAAGTGTAGATTTTATTAAAGAGCAGTTACACCTTCTTCTGGGTACAAGGATTTAAGGTCAGTCATAAAAAGAGCAACAAATTTCTAATTGTTCAACATTGTGTATATAAAATGAAATGAATAAAGGAAATATTTAAATCTTAAAACAAAATTTTACCCCTAGAACGTTTATTCTCCCAAAAGCAGAAATATTAGTCTTTTAGTCCAGAAATCGTGGTAAAAATAGGAGATATTGCTAAGAAAATTACTATTATTTACATTATTCAGACTGTTATCCTGATCTTCATTGCTATATTAACAACGTTTCGGCCGTTGTACGCCCAGGCCTTCTTCAGGTGATTGGAATTTCGAACCGAACACTGGGGGGTAGCTTGTTCTATTTCGATGTGCCATGCCTCTTCCGGATGTCTCATTTATTTCTCTTTAATTCAATTGTCCAAGTAGAACTAAAACAATCTATCCCGGTGGACGAAATTAAAGGTTCGGTTGAAATTCCAATAGAAACGTTGTGAATATGACAATGATGATGAGTATAATAGTTTGAATAATATAAATAATGCAAGTAATCTTAATACCTCATCTCAGAGATATAGACAGATATTGCTAAGAAAATGTTTGAGTGTGGGTCAAAAATCAACCACTTTGAGAAAATCAAACAAAATTGACGCCATGATGAATCCCTATAGCAGTAATGACCAGAATGGTGGCAGCAGCAGCATCAGCAGCAGCGACAGCAGCAACAGCAACAACACCAACGGTGGTATCATCATCATCATCATCATCAGCAGCAGCAGCAGCAGCAACATCATCAAGATCGACGCCCTTTGCAAGAAACGTTAAGACAACGATTTACGTCTGCTACTTGAAAATCAACACAAAAACATGATTTCAATAAACATTTGGTTGTTGACAGGCAATTGGCTTTTTTCTGATTTAATCCAATTTATTTCTGTGTTGAATTATTTCATTTTTATTTATGTTTTGGAAAGTTAATAAAACAAAGATAATTGTTGCTTTCTTAAAAAAGAAAACACAGTGAAAATATATTCTAAATGTTATGGCAGTGTAAATGTCGGAAATAGTTTCCATATATCGAAGGTAAGTAAATACAATTAATAGAAAAATGAAAATCCCAAGACGTTGAATATTTACGACATCATCTCAAATGAGGTAAGTCATTCGTGTCAGTGTCTTTTCTATGGCGTGAGAAAAGGTAAAGTGTTTACAAAATAAAAAAAAATCTGCTGTTTGCCATAAAGCAGTCGATAAACATGTTAAGCTCGAAAGCTGTTGTTATTACATAAATTTCTACTTGCATGCGACACAAAAATATCTAATATTTGCTGTGTTGATGGCATGATTATTTGAACCGATGTTTGCATTGGATGGAAATTCATATCCCGACTCCAGTAAAAAGACAGCAATAAAATCATTAAATAAACTTAATAAATGAACACGCAGAGAGCTTTTAAAGGCTTATCACTATTTGAAGGAATATTTCATTTAAAAAATTGATGGGATGGGATTTTATTTCAGAAACGAAAAACATATCCTAGATATTTATCTTGCAGTATACCTCTGAATTTCAGAATCTATTCTTTGCTATGTTGACATATTTTTCAGTCTCCAGACTCCAAAGTGCATTGGTAATAAGCGTCTAAGAAAAGATCTTTTCTCACCAATAAAGCAAAACGTTTATATAAAGTTTGAAGCTACCGAATAGCGATAGTTTATTATAATATAGTTTTTCAAGTGTTATCTTTTCGAATATTTTGTGTTTTTTTAAACATTTCCCTCCAAAGCAAGACGATAATGCCACTAGGGGAGGGAAAGATTATGAGAACATTTTAGTGAAGGGATGTGAAGACAAAGAGGACTAAAGGAAGAGGTTTCAGAAAAACAATATATGGCGATTGACGTTGCATTTAAATGTTTGTAAATTGATGGTGTCAGGGAAGCCAGAAATCGGGAGTTCGACAGGTGAGAAGAGTGAGAATAGAAACTATTAGAAGAGAACTTACGGTTACATCTAGTTCGTTCAACAGTAAAACTGTGAGACCTAATTGCCAATCTAGTAGCACTCTTAAATTCATGCAGTCGAGACACTAAAGGGAGAGTATCTCATCAGTACAAATGACATGAAGATATTTGGGAAAAGATAAAGGGAAGTAACATTACGTCGGTGAAAAAATGATTGGAGTCAAGATGACAGGTCAGAATCGATTACATTACATACCTTTCTTTGAATTTTGTCAAGAATCTCGAGATGAATAGCAGGAGCACCAGACCAGATATGGCAGCATTATTCAATGTATTTATAAATGAGCATTTTGAAGAGAAGAATTGTTTGGCTCAATACAGTGAACCAACTGTCCTAGCAGTAGATGTATCAATGGAAACCATGTGTTCAAGAAGGCGTAAAGTGTTGCTCGTTTCAGTCATGGTGATAGCATAAAAGATTCTCTGTGAAAATCTTTCTGTTTTGGAGGCATTCAAATTTACAAGCCATTCCTTGCCCTAGTTAACCACTGATTGAAAGTCATTTTCGAGAGCAGTTGCCAGTTTTACTTTTTCAGTTATGTGAGACTTTCTACTAAGACAGGAGTAAAATAGTTTTGTCATCTGCATAAATACCTAGTTGAGATCTGATTATATCGGGAATTTCATTGATTAAGATCAGAAACAACATCATTCCGAGGATAAAGCCCTGAAGGATGGAACCCTGGAGGGGGATCACACCCCCTTAGTATAAAAGGAACTAGAAGTGTATCCGTTCAACACGACCGTCGATTTGTTAGGAAACAAAATCCAAATATTCGTCCAGAGACACTGTAGCTTTTGAGCTTGTGGAGAAAGCTTTTGAGATATCTAGGGCCACACCTCGATGTTTATCGTTCTTATCTAAAGCATGATAGAAAAATTCAGTGATGGCTGTTAACACATCAGCAGGGGACATGCAGAAACGAAAGCTATATTGTTTATACGAAAAGAGGCCATGTAAAAGTACGATGCTTTAACCAATTTAGCGTTGTGTTTAGTGGTGTTTAGTACTTTGCCAAAAAAGAGTTAAGAGACTAAATAGTAAGGTGATAATTTGTGGGGTCAGAGGTTTCCCCTGAGTTCATAAAGACAGAAACCACAGAATAGGATTTACAATAAGCTACGAAGTGTTTAGGATTCTATCACATTAGACAAGTGCATTTGTTTTTATTTTACTCGGGTTAATTTGTTTGTATGTTGGTATTCAAATTTTCTTCTATAAGTTATAACTTTAATTATCTTGAATTTCTACCGTTTCCTGTAATTTGAATAATAATTATTAAGACAAACTTTAGTCTGCTCTCCTTAGGATTAAATTAAACGACTCGAGTCTTCGCCACGGTATTTCAACATTCCACAATAATGGCTTTTGAAAATTCATATTCTAATCTTATTCATACCACGAGAGCATTCCCATTTTATAAATCGAAACTGACAAAGAAAAATACAACTTCACGTTATCGGTTTATTTATTATTTTTTTTTGTCATTCGTGGTAAGAAAGTGAAGGATATTTTTTTATTTTCTTTCTCCTAAAATATTAACAAATAATTCTTAGAATGAAAGCATATGTTTAATTTTATTACCTCTGCTTTTGAAGAGGTTTAAAATTTTCACGCGGAAGATAAGCGGAACCATTTCCAGACTGATAGACGTTGTTAAGAAATGCCATAGCACAATGTGCACTCACAGATTGAAATTTAAATACACATTTTGAAGTCTTATTGAAGAAGTTTAAAATTCAACCTGATAATTTACTTTGTCTAAAAAAAATGGCAATATCGAAATTTCACGTATTCGAATAAATTAATTTTTTATTCCACCGAACATATATATATATATATATATATATATATATATATATATATATATATATATATATATATATATACACATATATACATATATATATATAAATATATACATATATAGATAGATATATAGATACACACACACACATATATATATATATATGCATATATATATATATATATATATATATATATATATATATATATATATATATATATATATATATATATATCCGAAATTCATATTTAATCTCGGATTAATTGAACTTTCTGATAAAAATATTATCAGGCAAGCAGGTGTTTAGTGTCTTTCCAAACTGTCCCATGCATCTTTTAAGCATTTGGAAAGAAAGGTACAGAAGATTGGCTTTTGGGCAACGTGTCAAACAACTTAAGATCTATTGTGTAAAGAGACTGAGTTATTGATAATAGCTCAGTCTCTTTATAGACTAAATATTGACATAGTAATGTGAACTGTAAATAAGTAAAGCAACTACGCGTTTACTGATTTAAAGTTAAATACATAATTATTTGATTTCATTTAATCGAGTCAATAATGTCTGTCGGGAAATAATCTGTCTATGTATGTATGTATGTATGTATGTATGTATGTATGTATCTATCTATCTATCTATCTATCTATCTATCTATCTATATTGGGTGTATCTGGATAGCAAATGATCTTTTATAAAATTTTATTTATTTGGAAGCACTTTGTTAAGGATTTTTCTTCATTTTTGATTTCGATCCATTTTCAAGTTTTCCGGTGAAATTATGAATATAAACTGTCTGATTATTTTCGTCTTTTTCTTGATAATATTGGGACAAAATATATTCTTTGTGCTTTTTGTGCTAATGTCAAAGTTATCTTTTTCAGTTTTATCTTGAGTTTATACTTGTGAGAACAATTATTGCTAATAGGCGCCGTTGTAGCTTTTGAAAAGGTTTCTATCTCTCTGAACTTATATTTGCTACAATTCTTCGATGCATAATAATTCCAAAACGTTCAGATTATGGGGTTTCTTTTTATGGACAACAGTTTTCTATTCATGCCACTAATGTGGATGTGGATCTCGCAATTGAGAAAGCCATTCTATTTGCCAAATCTTACTCTTCTTAAACCGTCCTGACATAGCTTGTGAAACGAGGAAACGAGTTTTACATAAAAAAAACAAAACGCCACTGAGGCGATTACCTATTCTTCCCAATCGTTGCAGTTCCCGAAAAGCCTTAGAAAATGAGTTTCCACTGTTGACATTTGACATTTTTACATTATGCATTTTTGAAACGTAAGTTTGTTGCTTATTTCATCCAATTATAATTTTGATGAGTCCAAACAAATAACTATAAACATTTGACTAAGAAGAGAGATTTTTTCAGGAATGCACAAGGAGACTTTTATATGATTTATCAACTGGTCGATTTTTTCTTTACTCGCAAGGGAATTTTTTATTGGTTCTAAATCAGGCAAATTGTTAAATTGTTTCAGTGTTCTTCATATCTGAATATATATATTCACCGTTAATATATTTTAGCACTCCCTAACAAACACACACACAAACATGTGTATGTGTGTGCATGTATGTTCGTGTGTGATTGTTGACCTTCCTTGATTCATTATACTAAATTTGCGTACCTTAGCTTCGCAATATATTACAACTTTAATATGATGATTCAACACTCCCTAACGCATAATATATACATGTATATATATATATATATATATATATATATATATATATATATATATATATATATATATATATAAAGTGGTCTGTTTTTCATTAAATATTTATATATATATGTGTGTGTGTGTGTGTTTGTATGTGTTTATATAAATAAACTTACCTAAACTAAAGAATAAATCATTTTATTGCGATTTCTCCTTATCATGTCTTCATTACGTTAATTATTCTAAATTCTGTTTTTTTTAAACTTTAATTTAAAATCAAAGTAAACCTGTATTTAATAAATGCCTAATATGTAAGAATACATTTTAAATTTTAAATTAGTTACATTTAAATTAGTTATTTAAGAATAAATTTTAAATTGGTTCGCGGTGTTAATGTCTTTTGATTATAAAACAAAAAGAAATTCTTTTTTCAAGTATAAATGCAATCATCCTTCGCCATTCAAAATCGATGACTTGATGAATTTGTGAAAATTTGCACCAGAAAAATCTTAAATGTTGAGTAGACAAGTATAATCATCTTTTTAATAGAATTTTCTTTCTATTTGATACCTAACATTGGAAGAAATCCGTTTTAAATAAAACAAAAAGCACCAAAAGCTGGAAGCATCGAAAATAGTGAATTAAAAGGCGAGAGAAACAGTGTCCATTTGTAAACTGTTTATGAAGTTACAACAAAAGATAGCAAGATACGTATAATTCATAAATGTTATTTTAAAATAATTGATTAATGTATATATGTATGTCATTTGAATTCATAAAAATATAATTTATATTTGAATAAATTTGCCTTAAAGTAAGAAGGGGATAAATAAAGACTAATTTATGGAATCTGATCAACAAGGGATGCTTCACAGTTGCAGCCATGTGACGTATTAGGTAAACCTTAATAAATATTATGGCTTCTGCTTTGTACATGAGATGTGCATACTTTCAATTTTTATCCGAAATAGTGAAGACAGGATAATAATCCATTATTGGAATACTGATTTTCAAAGTAATCACACTCACTTCACTTTCTTTATTTAGGTCAGGTTAAAAAGCATCAAGTCATCATCAATTTAAACTTGAGATATGGCACATGAATCAGTTTCATTTTGCGTTTAAGGTGTTTGCAATTGAAAACAATCACTTCTAAATTAAAAAAAAAAATACCAAGTCCAGCTCTTAAAACTAATTTACAGAGTTCATTGCTAAAGACACACGTTTTTCTATAACGATATTTATTGACATAGGTATCTCCCCAATATAGTAATACGCTTAAATATCCAGATGTACTTATAATGTACTTGCAAAATTTCTACACGCAATATTATATAGAGCTACACATAATTATTAGTTTAATCTACATTTTGTAATTCTTATTGATATTTTTTAGTCATTTCACCCCAAGTAAGGCGATAAAGCCACTAAGACACAAGGGTTTACTGAGTGTGAAAGAATCTGAGAAAAACATCATTAAAGAGAGAAGCCTATAAAAGAACTGGGATTAAAGAAACAAAAGATGGCGATTGATATTGCATTTAAATTTTGGAAGATCAAAGTTGAATGGAAAGCAAGAAGCCCGAAGAGAGTTCCAGAAACGAAAACTGCGTGAGAAGAAACTTAGATTCTGCTCTTTTTTTAAAGTCTTAATTAAAACGTTACCCGGTTCCTGCCATTTTCAAGTTTTAGTTAACAGAGATTCAAACTCCAAGTGAAACACATGCAACGGGTCAGAGGTGAATAAAATGTTTTGTTCGATGCCTGGCTTAAATCAGGCCGTTTTAAATAGTAAAAATAACACTTATACTGGCTGATGTTGATGTCTACACTAAAAAGAGAAAATTAGCCCAATTCTTTCCGTGTGAAATTACTGACTTTAACATAGACAGATAATAAAGAGACTGAAATAGCTAGCTAGATAGATTGTCATGAAAAGTTTAGAAATGTTGCAGATAAATCTAGCATTTATAACTGAACTTAAACTGCATATGCAAAATCAATTTTAAGCAAGAAATAGATTATCTCGGGACAAATAAATAATAAGTCATAAATTAAATCTAATGATTATTAAGTTTTTATTAAGTCTTTCGTTTATATATTTCTCAATATTGGATAAAATACTTTATACTCATTTTTTATGTTTGTAAATGTATTGAAATTTTTATTAAACGCATTTAATTGCCCATCCTTTAAAAGAACAAACTGAGTTATCTGACCTTTTTCGGCCATTTTGTTTCTTCTTTAATGAGTTGGATGTTTCAGAATACGAGAGCTGCACAAAGGGGAATAACTTTGATGAGGAAATGGATTCTGGATTCTGGATTGAACTGAAAAAAATATACTGACTTTAACACATTTTTTCAACGATTCAACTTAGATTAAATAAACTGGTCTTGACTGGATATTGTTAATTTTATTTTAAAATCGTTCATCTCAATGAACAGACGTATTTATCAAGAAATAATTATATAGTATGTAAGGATGACCTTTACTATACATATTGATGACATTTAACGAAAATCGTTATAACAATATTTGTACGGTGAGTTAATATTTCTGGGTTAGATAGAAATGGAACAAAAACAATCTACCATTTTAGCAATATTACCTCACCTATCAGAATAAAAGTGAATATATAATAGTTATCTATGCTTAGAGATATCCATAATACGAGAGAATTTATACTTACTTATATATCATGTGAATTTTGAGGAATTTTTACTTTCTGACATTTAAAGCATTGCATTGTGTAAAACCTGAACTGGAATTTTGTCTTCACGTTTCTCTCATCTAATACTAAGCAGCCATTTCGATATTACCAAATTTCAAAGTAGGAAAGAAACAGACATTTTGTAGGTGAGTGAAGATTGCCACGGTAGAGAAAGATAGACAGTTATTTTATAAATTGAAGAGGTACTATTTTTTTTTTACTTTCTTATAGAAATATTGGATATAGGTAAGGTATATGTAAAAATAAAATTTAAATTATTTCTTTTTAATAATAACACTGTTGGTGTTTAGGTGTGTGTGCACGTGTATTCTTTTGCGTGTGTATGTGAATGTGCGTATGTGCATGGAATTTCAGACAAACAATATATATATATATATATATATATTTGTGTTTGTGTGCATGTGTGTGTGTGTGCATGTGTGTATGTGTGTGTGCGTGCACGTGTATGATTTTACATGTGTGCATGTATATGCACATGAAATCCTAGACAAACACTATATGTGATTGTGTGTGTGTGTGTGAATATAATGACTTTAGGACTAAAAATATTTACCATAAATCTCTGCTTATATTATATAGAAATTGACTTTATTTTAACCCTTACATGTCAATATAAAGTATTGACTCTCTTCTTTCATTAGTATTTTTCATTTCCATCAGATAATATTTCGAATTTTTCTTGGAGGCTCTCTCTTATAGAGGTTGAGAGTTGTAACAGATTGACTTCCTAAATGATTATTCTTGGTCACATTTTATCAAAGAAAATATTTCACTTTGTTTGTGTTTGACGAGCAGTTGCGACAGAAGTTTTGCGTTTAGCCGTCCAAAAACTGAGTTAACTTTCGGTTTTTATTGTCTGAAGAATTCCGAAATAAAATCCAAAAATATGGTGCTTTAAAACGGGAAGAATGGAATGCTGAACTGTTATGTAATATCAGCCCTCCTCTATAGCAGTGAAAGCTGGAAAAATCTCTTCACAGATAAAGAAGAGACTACAGGTAATAGAAATGTGGTTATACAGAAGGCTGATGAGAATAATATTATGAAGTAAACATGCGAGTAACGAGTATGTTTTAAGGAAAATGGAAGCAAAAAGGACACTTATACGTAAAATATACGTAAAAGAGACCGTTTACATTTCTAGTACATGTGATGAGGAAAGAAGTTTGGGAGAATTTTACACTCGCAGGACATACTGAAGGTAAAAGGGGCGGAGGAAAACATTGAGTAAGCTACCTAAGAAGCTTGTTTAAATTGATGACAGCGGAATGCATA